GGTTGCTTTGCAAGCATTCACCGCGTGACCGAAACGCTGCAGTTAAAACACTGTATCACCTTGGGTGCTCCATCTCGAGCTTCTTCTACTCTGTGGTAAAACAGGTATACCCCTTTCTGTAACAGCTCCTCTGCTATTTTTTGCTCTGTTAGTGCTATCTTCACTATTGGCGTCTGTTGTCCTGTTCTCCTGGAAGTTATCCTCTCGATCTTAGTAGGCTCGATGCTTTGCTCTTGTAGTTCCTCCTTGATTTCTTCTGTGGTTATATCTACTGGGACATTCTTGATTACGAGATAGTTTAATGGCAGGCGTTCTCCAGCTATGTTCACAGTTATCTTCGAAGCGTTGAAAGCGCTTGAAGGCCATGGTTTCAGCAGTCTGGCATAGTCTGCTGGGCTTGAACACTTGATGAATACATCACCTCTTGGTAGTCTTCGAACCTGGTTGAATGATGAAGTCTTGAATATTTTCCTTAGTTCCTTTGCGATTTCTGGTATCCTTAAGTCTTTTGGAATCCCCCGACGATTATGGCTGGTGGGTCTCTTGGTTTGTTGGTTCTTGCTTCGTCTTCGGTTGTTCCTTTGGTCTTGGTTTCTTTTGTTGCTTCTTGTCTTGTAACTTGTTCCATGTTCTTCTTTGGTGTTTTCTCTTGCGTGGATTCTTCATCAGATGACATTGAAAAGTCCGATGATTCCTGTTCGCTGACAATGCAATGTTCCAGGCCATCTTGTGGTAGTTTTACTTGATGCAACTCAGATGTGGGGTCCACGAACTCTGTATTCTTCGTCCTTCGGGTCTTCATTCTTTCTTCTTTTTCCTTGTCTAAACTTATTTCGCTACTTTCTACTTCTATGGCTTAGATGTTAGTTACTGCGTTTATTACATGTTTAAATGTTACTTTTATCTACTAACTTTAGGAAGATATTTCTTACACTAGCTTAAATAATCTATTTGTAAAACAACTTTTTATTATTATTAATGTTGGCCTAACTTTAGTGTACTATTTAATCTTATAGTTTAGATAAATTATAATATTGGAGGGTAACTTTATGGGCTTAGTTTGGAAAGCTTATTCTTCAATTAACCACTAACGCTGATTTCTAATATTTAGCTGTTTCAAAATTATTTCTAAGTATTATTAAGTTTTATGGCTTTCCTATAAAGCTGATCACAAAACTTAAACTATTTTAATTTTAAATTTTAACCTTCTAGCCTAAACTTCTTCCTATATCTATTTTAAAACGGTTAAAACGGTTTTACTTGGTATAGTAACTTGATAGTCTTGAGAAAGACTTTTTGACAGCAAGTTTTAACAAGTTAAACCGTGGCTTCTTTACTTGATCTTCCTTATGCTGTTCCCATGAGCCCCTAAAAAAACAACTCTTTGAATACTTGAAGATAGCTTTTATATACGGAAACATCTATTAGCTGGGTTCTTGCACAGATCTTAAAATATAACCTTCAGTAGGTCTGTGGCATTTCCTGATTGGCTAAAGGACATGCCAATCGGTGATTGCCTTACCGGCCTACGTTGATCTGATTCATTTTATAAGCTGTACTATTTCCTATAGATCATTTTCCGGACGTTTCCACTATGATTAGTGTGTGTGGTGAAAAGCTTTAGCAGATATTTCCTTTGCAATATGTCAACCAACAATTGGTCCAGTTATCAACTCTATTTTCAAGTTTTGAACAACT